TATACGGACCTGCAGGATTCAGGCTGTGCAAACCCCAAACTTCTTTAATCATGTCGAGTCAGATTCAACCGTGGCAGCTTCTCCTCAAACAAAGCGGCTCCGTGAAGGGGCCGTGTTTGCCCACGATCCACACCATTACATCTCGGCTGCAGGGAAACCCTCCACCCTTCGGGCCACGCCCGGCAAAAACCCACCTCACCTTCATCTCACCCCAAACTTAGCAGAGCATCGCTTTTATCCCTAAAGCCCCCCATTAGTCCTCTAGTCAAGCATGAGCTTTGATGCTGCTTTAAAGGAGTTTTTGGGACGTTTCTCGTGTATTTTTCTTTGTATAAACTCATAAACCGCAACTCTTCCATTTTACCTGATGTGGGAATCGTTTATGTCCAACAGCACTGATAAGCTAACGGCTAGTCAAGGCAAATTCAAGACCAAAGCTGCTGATCATGAATTTTATAGAATTTAACTCGACCCTGTTTTAACGCACATTTAGACAGCTGTGAGTTTTATATTCATGGTAATCACATAGTGTTTAATGAATAATAAGTCACCTATCCGAATGATTTGAATGGACCCAACTGATTGCAACTCTGGGGGTGTGCACACCACACTTAGGGAATCCCAGGCATAAACCACTCTGACATCTTGGACAGAGGAGACAGAGGAGACAGAGGAGAAGACAGCAGTAACTGCAACAAAGATGTAGGAGATAAGCCATTTCTCCTAACTGAGGCTGTTCAGTAGCAATTCTTTAGAACGTTTCCACAGAAAAACGCAAAAACAAATTTCCATAAGTAGACTTTCTGTCTGGGGAACATTACTGTGACGTTTTAAAGCTTTTAAAGGTGTCACTTACAAAAATCAAACCAGCCTTACATCCCAGGCGATGAGTCAGCAAAAAAACAGCTCTTATAATTATCACTGATACCAGATCTGACTTAATCGGAATTTGCAACAGATCGAGAAAAGAGAGAGAGAGAGAGAGAGAGAGAGAGAGAGAGAGAGAGAGAGAGAGAGAGAGGAAGAGAGAGAGAGAGAGAGAGAGAGAGAGAGAGAGAGAGAGAGAGAGAGAGCAAGTTGCAACAAAGCCCTGAGGAATGAGCTCTCTAGCAATTCCTTGATGATTTGATATTAAAGAAAATTATAACAAAACTAGCTCATATCTTTTTTTATCTGCACGTTTTCTCATGTTTCTTTCAAATAATTTTCCCATTAAGCTTATTATGACTTGGGTTTTTCAGATTTGGGATTTTCGGAGAGGCAGAAGCGTGCCTGCGAGAAGAAAGGAGCCATCTTGTTAGATCTTGCCCTCAAACAGTTTCTAGTTCTACCTGTACAATTTAGGAGCCACATAAGATGATTAATGGAGCACATAAACATCACTTTTTCCACTTGAGCAACGCTTTGGTATACGATTGCCAGCTTTACGTGTCCGTGCTTCATCACAATACCCAGATGAACATTCTCATAAAATGTAAATTCCTCCCCCCTGGGAATGCTTTGGATTGGAATTTGTTGCAGTTGCTCGAAAGGAGAAGCTGTTGTGCCACCCTTAGATTACATCTGCTGTGAATTTGTTTGGCTGATTTTAATAATAATAATAATAAACTGTTGAAGGAAGTGCAGCACACTTACAGTAAGGGCTGCTTTTACATAAGAATGCATTCAGAGACGCCATGCAAATGATAACCAGGAATCCATCCGGTGGGGGTGCTTCATTAGAGATAAATAAGGTTTTCTTACATTTATGCAAAAGTGAAAGAGCTTATTTTTATTCATTTTTTTAATTTATTGATGATATTACGCCCTGAGCAGCTCCCAGCAGAGCGTGAAGTCAGATGTAATCGTGCATCCCTGTTGCTGTATGGATCACATTACAGGTTCTGGATGTGAGTCATTACCATTTGTCGATAAGCTCGGCCCTGAAGGTGAGTATGATTAAAAGGCCTTACGATTATCCGAAAAATCAATGATCGGGTTTGATCCGATCGTCCCGTTTCACAGCGAAGCAGAAAATCTCCTCTGTCATTGATCCTCAGCAGGCTGGACGCCGTCGTCATGGAAAACGTGCTCCGCTTCAGCCATTTTTCTTTCTTTTCTTTCTGACAGCCTCTCCAGACTTGTCCTGGGAGAAACGTTTGGATGTATAAAGTGTTTAAAGCGTAAATCCAGTTTTGGCTTGACAGCTTTATGGGTTCATTGTTGCTCTTTGGAAAAAGGAAGAAGAAGGAGAAAAGAGACGCTTTGGTGAATTTGTTGAGATGTGAAACAAGAGAAGGAAGCATTTCTAACTGATGATGTTTGCGTCACTAACACAGGACCAAAGGCTGCTAGACAAGCCAGATGAGATGTTTTTATACATTAAAGGATGACATAAAAACAGTCTTACTCTGCTGTTCATCTCAGCAACATCAATTGCATCAATGTGTTGTAACTTATTAAAAAATACTAAAAAAACACGTTTTATGATTTATTTAAATTATTTTAACCTTTAAATCATTATTTGAATAAAAACATTGTTATTTCTCAAATTATATTCTACTGTTTGCTTTGTTTTAATTGGTCTGATGCTTTTTTCCTCTTTGATTTCATTGTTTTGCTTACTGTTTTACATCTGCTGAACTTTTTTTTCATCATAGCCTAAGTTTATTTTAACCTACTGCATTCTACTTTTATATTGACATTTATGTTGAGTTACTGGAAAATGTGAATATTTATATATTAGAGAAGAAATAATGGATTTTACTAAGCACATCTCTAGATAAAAACCATGAGGCACATCACAAGAACAAAAAAAAACATTTTTTTAAAATATACTAATTATCTTGAAATTTTGATAATAAAAAATGGCGGAAATGGAAAAATGTAAATAAAAAATTAGAAGGAAGAAAGAAAACAAATAAGAAAAGGTACTACGAGATCCCGAGAAAGGCAGAATTGGTAGAAAGGCATTAAAAACATTTCAGATTAAGATTTAAAACACAAGAATAAAAGTTTTGGTGACACGTCTAATAAAAAGGTTAAAGCTGATTATTTAAACCAACCTCTTCCTTTAACCACCATGTCTTGTGAACTGGCAAGCGTTGATGCTTCTGCACCACTCTGCACATCCAGGATCTCAGACCCAACTCGCTGTATGACCGAACCCAGACGGTCACCGCTGCAGATTTCACTCTCATGTTTGCACTGCGACTTATGAATCTTTTATCAAAACTGACCTAATTGCTTAACCATCCATGTCCAGATCCAGAGGTTGGGCATGACTTTCCCAAAAACAACACGGACAGAGGCCGGCACACATCTCTGTGGACTTGGCTCTTTGTAATTAGCCAAATGTAAAGGAAAGTGAATTGAAAGATGGGGATTTATAACAAAACCACCAAACATGAGGGGAGTATTGGTCTATTTCAACATGTTCTCAGATGTTTTTGGAACTAAAAGAGCAATTTAGGGCATCCAGTTTCCTGTGCAAACCAGATTTTCTGTGAACAGAAACAAAAAAACAACTTTCCCTTGTGTTCTCACTCCCACTCTCTGCCTGGTTTCACAGCTGAGGAAGCTGCTGCTGTAGCTGAAGGGTCAGAGTTAAACCAGTTTGTGAACCAGTAAAAGAAGCGAACATGCAAGAGCCTGTGGGGAGTTTCTGACTCCACTTCTCATCCCTTCCTGGGAGCTGCCTCCAAAGAAAGTCCAAGGAAAATCCCTATTATCCCAAACAGCTGCAGATTCTCACTTTGAAAAAAAAAACTCAAATTCCAATTTCAAACATTCTGTAGTGTCCAACCTAATTTATTTTTGCTACATTGAGTCATATTTTCTGTTCTTTTCTTTAAAATGATGTTTTATTATCTTCTATTGTTTGCCAGAAAATAGCTGGAAGCTGTCACTCTTCCTGCTCCCAGCTGGCGCTCTGCAGAAGTCCGTTTTGTTTTCACTGAATGAGCCAATATCAGAACTGTGTGCACGCTTGTGCGTAATTACAGATGCGAGGTTCCTCCTAAAGCTCTCATTAGAAAAAGGGAATGGGAATAACTCCAGGCTACAACCACCAGCGCTCGCGGTTACGTAACACGCTCTCCACGGTTCGTGCCTGCAAAGCCCGTTTCTTTCCTTTTCATGAAGCCTGTTCCTTACAGCACAGCAGATGCTCTTTTTTTATTCCTGCGCCTTTTGTCTCACACTATTAAAAAAAACGAAAAAAAAAATCTCTTTATATTCTGGTCTTTGTGTGACGCGCGCTGCTACAGAGGTGGTCAGTTTTTGCTTTGTCCGTCAGAGGGCGCAGCTGAGCCCTAATTCTTTCATCCTGAGATGCTGGTGGTCCTCAGACAAAAGAGAGAAGTAGAGATCTGAGGGAGGGAGGGAGGGAGGGAGGGAGAGAGAGAGAGAGAGAGAGAGAGAGAGAGAGAGAGAGAGAGAGAGAGAGAGAGAGAGAGAGAGAGAGAGAGAGAGAGAGAGAGAGAGAGAGAGAGAGAGAGAGGAGGAATGCCTATAAACACGAGTTTAAATACATGTCTAACTTAAATAAATGACTTAAGTGAATGTTTATTATGAGAAAATGTATTCTGCATTTTATTTTTTATTTATTTATAAACTTTCTTCATGGGTCATAAATTACACCTGCCAGTGTTTCTATGTAATATTTCACGATAGATGATTAAGAACAACTTTTGTTAGCGCATAAGTTTGCTGTAGTGTCCTTTAGCAATTTGAAAAATCCAGATATTCCACTAATTTCCTTTGATCTGTTGCCTGAAGCTAAACTGATTAGCTAAATAAATGATTTTTAAAGAACGCTCGTATCTCCTTCAAACCACGACTCTTCTTCAGTCTTAAAAAACACTTTCTCACTTTTCCTCTTGCTTTTCATTTTTATGCTTCTTTCAGCTTGAAAGAAAAGATCCCAGCCAGATTGTCTCCCGCGCCGAATCAAGTCCGTCCATAGGTACGCCCCCCCCCCCCCAGCCCTGATGGGAGGAGCCTGCTTTCTTCCCTCAAAACTAAGAGTGTATAACACTTCGCAGCTAGCCACAATGTGTGTCAGAGGACCGTCTGTGCTCCCGAAGTAGATGACTGCTCCAAATCTGGTGTCTGAATCAGTGACCGAGAGATAGGAGGAGAAATTGGTTCAGAGGTTATCATCCAGGACGAGGTGAGCATCCTCTCATTTCAGCACTCCTCTTGTTGTCTCACGTCCTCTTCACTTAACGTGACTATGTGTTTGGTGTAATTATGTCATTGTGAGGGTTTTTTTTCCTGAAAAAAATTGCATTTGTGTCGGGTTTGAAGAAAGACGCGGCTGTGGTTAGTGTTGCGCCTCTTGTGCGTCACGGACACTTTTACGCACACGCTGCTGTAAGGTGTGTGTGAGTTTTAAACGCCACAAAGGAAGGAGTTTGGGTTGTAGTGTGTCGAGGGGTGTGTGGGCGCAGTTTGAAGGTGAGACTGTGGACACTGGTGTGATGGATGCTGTCTCTTCACAGGATTGTCTGATTGTTGGGGAGAATGCCGGCGATTTTAAGTAAAAACTCCGATTTGGAGTTTGACTCCGTGCAGCCGTGTTTTTATCCAGATGAGGACGACTTCTACTTCTGTGGTCCCGACTCTGCGCCACCGGGGGAGGACATCTGGAAGAAATTCGAGTTGTTACCCACTCCGCCCCTCTCTCCAAGCCGCGCTGCGCTACCAGGAGAGCCGACGACTGTCTCCCCGGAGGTAGATCTCCTTGGCTTCGGCTTGGGAGACCCGATGGACTGGGCTTCCGAGCTGCTGCTCCTGCCCGAGGACGATATTTGGGGAGCGTCCGACGATGGCGACCTGTTCGGTTCCGCTTTGGATACAAACCCCGACAGCATCATTATACACGACTGCATGTGGAGCAGCTTCTCCGCCAGGGAAAAGCTGGAACGGGCCGTAACGGAGAAACTTGGCAAGGCCATTTCTACGGCCACGACCAGCGGCAGGAGCACGTATGTGAAAGCGCCGGAGGTGGTGAGCCGCAGCTCGGTGTCAGAGTGCGTGGACCCCACGGTGGTGTTCCCCTTCCCGGTGAACAAGAAGAGCGTCAGCACGGAAGCGTCCGGGACCGCTGACGCACCGGCTGCTCACGAGAGTGCAGCCAGTGATTCAGGTGAGAATTTCATTTAGGAATATAATAATAACAACAACAATAATAATAATAATAATAAACTTTAGTAAATCTTGATTAAGGACAGAAAATCTCTATAGACTTTTATTTTAAGATCTGCGTCTATGATTGGCTCAGAATCGGATTACACGCACGCACACGCACGCACGCACACACACACGCACGCACGCACGCACGCACACACACACACACACACAGTAGTGACACAGTGAACTGTGGGTTTATGTAATCAGCAGGCTTTTCATCCGGCAGATGGCAGTAAAATAGGGAATTGTATGCCTTAGTGAACTCGGTTGGCATCCACGCCAAAAAAATAAATAAATACAGAGACACACACCGACCAGGTTGTAGGGGGAGGAGATGAAAGGGTGTTCAATAATGCGATGAACTGATAAAGTGTCCAGTTCACGGTGCCGTGGAGGCTTTCATTACGCATGGATTAGAGGCCAATTTACGCACAGCGGGTGAGAAATTGGCACTCGTTTTAGACAGCCTGTCCTGAACTGAGCTTATATTTCAAGACATAAAAGAATCTAGAACTACTCATATCACACTGGAACACGGAGCAGACCTATACTAGTTCCCATTTTTATAAGGTAATCGTGCGATTCCATTGGAAAATGACCTTGTTCTGAGTCATCATTTGCCACATTACTGCCCACGAGTTCTCAAACAAATACAAGTCCTTATCAGTGTGTTTTCACTGTGAAACGGTGCAAAGACCTTCAACAGCGAGGCAAAGAGGGAGAGTCCTGACTTCTTTCCCCTTCTTTGTGTGTGTGTGCGGGGGTGGAAGGCTTGCCAAAGGGTGACAGCCTTGAGCAAGCACTCCATCTCGACAGCTGTCTTCCTGGCGCCGCTCCAGTTTTGGGGGGCTTAAATCACGGTGATCCGATCGCCTGAGTCCTGCGCACTTTGCCCTCCAGTGCGCTTCCGCTGCCTGCAGCAGCAGCGTCCAGACGCGCCGCGTTTGGTGTCGCAAGAACCGTTTCTTCAGACAGATGTGCTGACAATCCAAAAAAAAAAGATCCAAATCCAAGCCTCACATGTGGCGGCCACGCCCCCTCTCCCTCCCCTCCTGCAGCCAGCTGTGACCAGCTTTGTTTTGATGTCAGCAGCAGACTATGTGTGATCAGCGTGTGTGTGTGTGTGCGTGTGTGCATGTGTGTGTGTTGAGGCAGCATCCTGTCTGAAGTGGGTTCCCATAAGCTGTAAAATGCCACACTCTTCAGCTTCTCCTGAGCTGATAATGAGAGCCATTATCACAAAGGCATTTTAACTGTGCCTCACACTCTCTCATGCCTCCTAACTTCCTCTCACCCCTTTAAAAAAACAACTCTCAGCAAATGATAAGACTCGAGTTCGGGTATTTTGATGAGATTTAATACAATCTTCAAAGAGTTAACAAAAAAATTAATTAAAGCTGCAGACTAACTGAAAAGCATCAAACTGAAGATTAGAAGACATTTGAAGGAGGGCGTCAGAATAAAACGCATAAATCCAGCCAGGCTGCTGTCTGAGAACGAACATGCCAATGCCTGCAGAGTAGATTAGCTGAGAAGTGACTGACACCAAACTTCTCTTGCAAACGGCGTTGAGCAACATTCTCTCCCACACACTCATTTCTGTACCTGTCAGCGGCTGTCCCACAGACAGATCATGACAGGAGTTTTATCCCAGTCCTAAATGTGTTTTTTTTCTTCCAGAAGAAGATGATGAGGATGAAGAAGAGGAAGATGAGGAGGAAGATGAGGAGGAGGAAGAAGAGGAGGAAGAGGAGGAGGAGGAGATTGATGTGGTCACGGTAGAGAAGAGGCGCTCCACAGTCAGCAAGACGTTGCCCATGGTTGCTGGCCTCTGTACATCTGTACATCCCAAGAGCCAGGATGTAAAAGGAAGTGTGTCGGGATGCGGAGTGATGAGCCGGTTCATCAGCCGCGCCCCTCAGGAGCTCATCCTGAAGAGGAGCTCGGTCCACCAGCAGCAACACAACTACGCAGCTCCTTCACCGTACGCCTCAGATGACGACCTGATCCCACCTCCAAAGAAGCAGAAGACAGCAGACGCACCACGCCCTCCCACCAGAACCATCTCTTCATCCTCTTCCTCCTCGTCCTGCATCTCGGTCGCTGGGACACGCAGCAAGCGCAGCACCAGCGGGGACAGCAGCCCGCGCGGCAGCTCAGACTCCGAGGACAGCGAGCGCAGACGCAACCACAACATCCTGGAGCGCCAGCGCCGCAACGACCTGCGCTCCAGCTTCCTGATGCTGCGTGACCACGTACCAGAACTGGCACACAACGAGAAGGCGGCGAAGGTCCTAATCCTGAAGAAAGCAACTGATTACGTGAGCTCGCTGGAAGCAGAGGAGATGAGGCTCCAGCAGGAGAAGGACCGGCTCCAGGCTCGCAGGCATCAGCTGATGCGCAGGCTGGAGCATGCTAGGACTCGCTAACAGACAACTGCTACAACACAGAAACCCTCATAGTACCCTGGATGACCCTGCCGCCCCCAAACCCTCTGGCTGAACTCGCTCTGAGACACCGTGAGCTGCACGCACGGGCCTAGACGCTTAAGCACAGGCACATGAAGCCTGCATCTCGGATCAGGTTTATCCTCAGACACACTCCTGGAGACGAGGACAAGGGTGGGCTGAGAGGGGGGGCTTCCTGGATGGACGCTTGGACTTTCACTGCCGCCACTTTTTTTGCACATTTGTTGACGTTAAGAATGTTTAGGGTTTACTTTTTCAATCCAGTCACAACTGAGGAAAGTTAAAAAGAGAACGAAAGAGGATGGAGATGGGAGACTGTTTTTTATATATATAAATATATATACACATATATATATATATTTTGGTCTACAATTCCTCTCTTTTTTATATCATTTCTATCTGTATAACGTTATTTGTATTTTTTAAATTTGTACTCACTGTGACACCAGCCTGGAATCCGCCGATTCTTCACAGGGACCGGTGTTGGAGGGCACTTTGCTTGGAGAGCTCACACACGTACTTTTTTTTGCCTTCACCACTGCAGAACCGATTCAAGAACAGACTGATGACTGAAGGTTGGTTTAAGGATGGTTTATGCTTGACGCGTCCGCGAGGTCCGCACGGCTCCATGCGGAAAAGTTGCTTCATTTTAACAACCTCCACCGAGTCTCCGCACGGCCCAAAATTTCCGCAACGCGCACCTAGGAGATTTTGTAACCACGCGGACGGTTGGGCGCGGAAAAACATGGTGGACTGGCAAGAACTAGTATGGCAGAGGTTCGTAAATACAGACATTTGTATGATTCAGCTCTCAGAGATCACCGTGATCAACATTTTGTTAATAATTCTTGGAGATAAATAGCTCGCACTGTCGGAAAAGACGAGGAAGCTGTTAAAAATGCTGGAATGCCATGTTGTAAACAGTCATTTTTACTTCTACTATGGTGTAGTGTTAGATGCATGCCGTACAGCTCCATGCTGCCCCCTACAGTTTGGGAGAATATTGGCTCACCGCAGAGACAAGCCGCATGAACCATAAACGCTGCAAGTTGTGAAGCGCGTTCCATCCGCGAGCCGCATCACCAAGCGGAAAGTAAATGCGTCAAGCATAAACCAAGCTTTAGGCGTGATGGGTCACATAAACAAAGCCACTACAGGTTCACTTTCCTCTCACACTGGTGATCAAACCAAGTCAGTGGACGCATATCTGTGCACCTTGCTGGGCGACACTTTTGTATATAACACTAGTGTACAGACAAAATACACTCAGATCTGCCTTGTTTTGTAAAACTTTGTCGTTGTTTTATACATGAGTCAGGAAGCTGCCAACAACTAGACTGGAAGTTTATAGACATTTTTTTAAAGTACTGTAACGGCCTCAGTTTATGAGAGTCATAATACTTTGTAACATGACAAAATATTGTTTTTCTCTACTTTTTCTTTGTTTTGTATCCTATTACTAATTCTCCACTCTTTTTTTTGCTTTTAGTGTGATACATACTAAATTTAATACTTATATTTTCGTATGAAAATGAGTTCTCAGTAGATATCACTTTATGTCACTGGTTTTCTCTTCTATCTCAATTAAAATGGTTTTGTACAGAAAATATGTCCTATCCACACGTACCTGGTTGTTTTTTTTCTTTTGTTTATATTTTATCGGGTGCATAGAATTGGGTAAACCGATGTTTGTTTCTTTAATTTTCTTTTTTTATGTACATTTAGTGCTGCAACTCATAGCACTTTGAAATACCTCATTTTGAAAAAATAAATAGACGTAAAATCCTGATTTTCTTTCTCTCTGGAGCTTTTGTTGCATACTTCTTTTGGAATATTATCTCTTTCAATGCTTCCATTTTTTTTCCTTATTTGTTTTTGCTCCGGTAAAAAGACTCATCCTGACAAAGAAGAGAGTCTTCTGGATCCTGTGTCTAAGCGCCCTGCGGTAGCCTCCCCCTCACTAGCCTCTCACACCCTCCCACACACACACCTACACACTTCCAAGTGCACACATTTCCACATCCCCTCTATTTCCCTCTCAAACCAGAACAGCTCTTCCCGCTACATTGTTCAGGCTGTTGCCATGGAAACTGGAGCAGCTGCTGAGTGGCAGACACGAGAGTGAGTCTTTTATTTGTCTGTTGGTAGAGAGTGTGTATTCCTGTCCGTGTGTGTGTGTGTGAGGTTATGAATGCAAATGTCTACTCTGTGTGTCTACCTTTTGTCGCCGTCTGTGTGTGGCCCGGGTGCCTGATATCTCTCCGGCGTTGTGCACAGCCTGCCACGACGCCAGGACAAGGCTGGATACTGTTTACCAACATCAGCCACATGGCTCAGCCCTCCCTCCCTCCCTCCCTCCTCCCAGCCTCCCCATGCCTCCCTTCTCTGCTCCATCACCTCCCCCTGTGACTTCAGCGCTGGGCCTCAGCTCAAATATGTGTCTTTCGCCTGGCGAGGCGTTCTCTGGAGATGGCTGAAAGAGAAATCTGTTGCTGAGGTCTGTGCGGCCATTCAGCATGTGTTCACAGAAGGAAAGAGAGTCAGAAACACGGGGAGAGGGAATTAACGCGGCATCAAACATACCTCGCTGGTGATGGGGAATGCCTTTTTTAAATCCGATCTTCTTTGTTCTGAGCAGAAATAAAATAAAAGACTTTAACTGAATTTGGAGTGGCTGCCGTGTGAGGATCAAACTCCTCTCATGAAGACCGATGATTTTGTTTTTCTAGCTGAGTCGGCCCGAGATTGAGCCTCTCGGAGGGGGGAGAGGAGCTGGTGGATTACATAACAGGGGTCTGGTGTCTTTGTGCACACTTACAGTGCGTGTGCACGTATAGAGCAGGAGGCTGGTGTCTTTATCCGTGTGTGAGTGCATGTTGCGTCCTCTCATGGGACTTCCCCTCACCATCTGCCTAATGGCTTATCCCGCTTGGTTACAGAAGAAAACAAGTTGGACAATAACACTGAGGAGGAGGGAAAACAATGGCGGTTTTCATATTAACACTAAATAAATATAGTTAAACGTGTCAGATATCACGCTTTTTTGTCCCTCTGGGCTACAAAACATAAAGTTGTTTACTTTTCAACTGTAGCGTCTTCATTCTCTCCTCAACGAGCCTAATTGGTTTAGGATGGAGCTGATGCTGTAGAGGGGTTGTCTCCTACGTTCATCAGACATATGGCCCAAGCTTTTCTTTCTGCTCAGTGACCACCAGGCAGGTTGGAGCTGCTCACACACACACACACACACACACACACACACACACACACACACACACACACACACACGACACAGATCTAATGGGCTTACACCCCACCGAAGAGAAGGGCATTAAAGCTGCACACAAGACAATGTGGTGTGTTTGTGTTGTTCGAGTGTGTCGGCGCCATCCCTTTGGAGATCTTCATTACCGTTGAGATTAATCAACAAACACTTGTCACAACATTTCTATTGTCAGATCTGGATTTGGCGTGTTAACCTTCCCGTGTGGAGGGAAACAAAGCTTCCTGTGTGTGCCCAACCTCTGCACAATGACATCACCCATGTTCCACACTGGGCTCTGTTTGCCAAGAGCTCGGCCATCTGAAGGTTGGGGGTGTCACGGGTGTGTGTCAGGGGTGGGTCACCATCTGTTGTGGAGTCTAGCACCGTCGCAGGTGCTCAGAAACTGTGTGTGTTAAGGTTACGGTAGGTAGAAGGGCGAAGATGTTTGCAGGGAGGATACTGGGGCAGAAAACGATTATGTGTGGAAGAACGGGGCAATTCCTCCAGGGAGCACCTCATCCCCGTCGCCTTGTTGAGTAACATGCAGCCGTAACAAAGAGCTGCGGTTCTACTGTAATTGCAGAACACATGGGGGACAGTGAAGCAGGCGAGGATGGGAGGGAGGGAGCGCAGGGAGAGAAAAGGAGGCCGGAGTGTTTGATCAAAGTTTACCAAAGTCGGAGCAAATTTGCATACAGATGGTACTGTAGCACAGCCCCCGTATACCTTTCCTTGTCTTTACTTTTCTTTATTCGTCTCTCTTTCATTTCCACACGCACACGCTCGCATGCAAATGTAATCGGGTTTTATTGAAAAATCAATGAATGGCCTTTCAGGAGTGCATTCTTTGGAAGAAACAGCCTTGGCTCCACAACACAGCACCTAGAAAAGAGAAGCAAAAACGGAGGAAAAACTCAGAAAGAAGGGATTAAAAAAGGAAGATAGATAAAAAGGAAGAAAGGCATTGACTGAGACAGAAGATTAGAGGAGAAAAAGGAGTAATAGTGGGAAGAAATTAAGAGGAAAAACCTCCCCGCAGCACTAATTAAAATTATTTCGAGCACTCCTTACTTTTTCGGAGTCGTGAAAGGCCTTAACAATGAATCTGATAGGCCAAAGCCGGAGTTCCTTCTTCACACAACGTGATATCTAACTGTGAAAACCACGGGCACGTCCTAAACTGGCCTGAACCTGCTGGCAGCAGCTGGCAGCAAAGAAATACATCAGTTTCTGAGATCACGTTTGAAAATCAGGAGCTCACCGTGTTACACAACACAAGTTTAGAGGCCCTCATCTGTCAGTGAACAATTACAGACACGCTTTCAAAAGCAGGATCTAAAGGTGTTTTACAGTAGCAGGAGAAGAAGTACGAGAAGTGATGAAACAGAAAAACAAACCACAAATACAGCCGTTAAAGGAAAATGGTGTCTAAGGTCAACTTCAATTTAAAAAGTAGATTTTTGTTTTTGTCACTGACTGGATTTAGCACTAATAATGCATAATAATCTAAATGTAGTTTTAGATGCAGTAATGGATGGAGAGGCATGGCGACATATCAAACAAAGGTCTAATAGTATATTAATATGTATACAATATATACAATATATTGTTTACTGAGATTACACGGACTCACTCAAACTGAGTTTGAAATGTTTATTGAACAAATTGGAAAAATGGACATTTTAGTTGTACTTCATAGTTTCTAATAAAGTAAAGCAGGCATTTTTTGCTCTCACACATATTGAGATAACTGGATGGCTGGATAGATGGATGGATGGATGGGTACAGAGAAAGATGAAAGGATGGATGGATGAATGGATAGAGGGATAAAGGGATAATGGGATGGATGGATGAAATAATAGAGACAGAGATTGATCGATGGTATACAGGTGCTGGCCAGTAAATTAGAATATCATCAAAAGGTTGAAAATATTTCAGTAATTCCATTCAAAACGTGAAACTTGTACATTATATTCATGCAATGCACACAGACCAATGTATTTCCAATGTTCATTACATTTAAATTTGATATTCATAAGTGACAACTAATGAAAACTCCAAATTTGGTATCTCAAAAAATTAGAATATTCTGAAAAGGCTGAATATAGAAGACACCTGCTGCCACTCTAATCAGCTGATTTACTCAAAACACCTGCAAAGGCCTTTAAAAGGTCCCTCAGTCTTGTTTTGAAGGCACCACAATCATGGGGAAGACTTCTGACTTAACAGCTGTCCAAAAGACAATCATTGACACCTTGCACAAGGAGGGCAAGACACAAAAGGTGATTGCTAAAGAAGCTGGCTGTTCGCAGAGCTCTGTGTCCAAGCACATTAACAGACAGGCGAAGGGACGGAAAAAATGTGGTAGAAAAAAGTGTACAAGCTCTAGGGATAACCGCACCCTGCAGAGAATTGTGACGACAAACCCATTCAAAAATGTGGGGGAGATCCACAAAGAGTGGACTGCAGCTGGAGTCAGCGCTTCAAGAACCACCACGAGGAGACTCATGAAAGACATGGGATTCAGGTGTCGCATTCCGTGTGTCAAGCCACTCTTGAACAAGAAACAGCGCAAGAAGCGTCTCGCCTGGGCCAAGGACAAAAAGGACTGGACTGATGCTGAGTGGTCCAAAGTTATGTTTTCTGATGAAAGCAAGTTCTGCATTTCCTTTGGAAATCAAGGACCCAGAGTCTGGAGGAAGAGCGGAGAAGCACAGAATCCACGTTGCATGAGGTCCAGTGTAAAGTTTCCACCGTCAGTGATGGTGTGGGGTGCCATGTCATCTGCCGGTGTTGGCCCACTCTGTTTCCTGAGGTCCAGGGTCAATGCAGCCGTCTACCAGGAAGTTTTAGAGCACTTCATGCTTCCTGCTGCTGACCAACTTTATGGGGATGCAGACTTCACCTTTCAACAGGACTTGGCACCTGCACACAGTGCCAAAACCACCAGCACCTGGTTCAAGGACCATGGTATCCCTGTCCTTGATTGGCCAGCAAACTCGCCTGACCTTAACCCCATAGAAAATCTATGGGGTATTGTGAAGCGGAGGATGCAATACGCTAGACCCAACAATGCAGAGGAGCTGAAGACGACTATCAGAGCAACCTGGGCTCTCATAACACCTGAGCAGTGCCACAGACTGATCGAGTCCATGCCACGCCGCATTACTGCAGTTATTGAGGCAAAAGGAGCCCCGACTAAGTATTGAGTGCTATACATGCACATTCTTTTCATGTTCATTCTTTTCAGTTGGCCAACATTAGAGAAACAAACATTTTTTCATTGGCCTTTAGAATATTCTAATTTTCTGAGATACCAGATTTGATGTTTTCATTGGTTGTCACCTATAAATATCAAATTTAAATGTAATGAACATTGGAAATACATTGGTCTGTGTGCATTGCATGAATATAATGTACAAGTTTCACGTTTTGAATGGAATTACTGAAATATTTTCAACCTTTTGATGATATTCTAATTTACTGGCCAGCACCTGTAGATGGATGGACGGACGAACAAATGG